GATTTTTTGCTCGGGAAAGTCCAAAACTAATGTGATTGAATCTGTTTGGTAAATAAAAGCCAAACAAATTCAAGCTACAAGCCCAGGCATTACAATCATTTTTTCAGGTGCCCGGTTTGACCTCGATACACCGAAATTATTTGTCATACAATTCCATACAATAAGTGTATGTAAAAATGCTTGTCATACAGTTTTCGTACAAATTCGAGAATTGTTCGAAAAAAAAGTTAAACTAATTTCTGCGGCTGTTTTATTCAAATAAAACAGTCTGGGGATGAAAAAACCAAGGTTTTTAACTTTTGAAGAAAAAAATGCTTATCATAAATTTCCCACATATGGAAATTGTATGAAATTGTATGACTAACACTTTTTTGTCGGCGACAGAAAAAAGTAATTTTGAAATTGCCCCAAAAATTTTTTCGTGTTTTTTACCGCAAATCTAATTTTGCACTCAAAGAAACATTCTCCAAGAATTATTAAGTGAATACAAAATTAATTTTTTGTGTGGATAACGTAGTCCTGGATTCACTAATAATGTTTTTTTTACTCTTTGCTGGATAAATTTTTTTTTCAAAAACACTGAAAACTCCTATTTCTTTTGGTATGACATGTTTAGGTATGCCTTGATTAATGTCTGATAAATTAAAAATTCAAGTTTTAAAAATAATCATCTTTGAAATATTTTGCCAAAACTTAAAGATGGTTACTTTCTTATATCATTTGTTAAGGACATCTCTGAGGCACTTCAGGTCTTTTTCTATGCATTGCAAATGCAAAACCTTTGGTGCTTTGATTAGACTAAGGTCTTTTAGTTTGCATTCAGTTTTGAACATAACCCAAAATTTTCAGAACATAACTTTAGAAAAAAATCAACTTTTTGGTATATTGGAAAAGAAAAATTGTCATACAGTTTTTATAACGGAAAAATGCTTATCATAGAGTTTTCATACAGTTTTCTGTATGTATGGCCTTGCATGGAATTGTATGGTAAGAATTTTTTCATTTATGGAAATTGCATGATAAGAAGTTTTGGTCAACCCTGGTAGATGAAAAATTAACCCGAAAAGATCGGAACTGCGAAATTTAAATTGCCAAATGTAAGAGGAAATATGAAAATGTTAAAGTGCTCAAAAGTTTGTCTTCATGAAACATTTATACAAAACTTGTTTTTCTAACCAGCGTGACAAAAAAAGGCCTGTCGTAAATTTTTATACTAAAAAAAATGAGTCAGCTTCACCTGCGTTTTAGTTACCTCGGTTTTAAATTATCTGAGCATGATTTAAAACAATTGGACATGTAAACAACCTTACCCCTTAAACAACAGAGGAAAAAAAAAGTTTGCTTGATCAAGAAAAATATTTTTCACGCAATAGAAACTAATCACTTTTGATGCTGGCTATTGTGCTTAAATTATTCGGTCGGGAAATTTTGCTCGGGAAATTCCAAAACTAATGTGATTGAACCTGTTTGGTAAATATAAGCCAAACAAATTCAAGCTACAAGCCCAAGCAATTCAATCAATGTTTCAGGTACCCGGGTTGACCTCGGTACACCGCAAATACTTGTTATACAATTCCATACATTAAGTGTATGGAAAAGTGCTTGTCATACAATTTTCGCACGATTTCGAAAAAAAGTTCGATAGAAAATTTAAACTACTTCAAATAAAACAGTCTGGGGATAAAAAAAACAGGTTTTTAATTTTTTGAAGAAAAAAATGCGTATTATAAAATTCCCTAATATGGAAATTGTATGAAATTGTATGACTAACACTTTTTTGATGGCGACAGAAAAAAGTAATTTTGAAATTGCCCCAAAAATTTTTTTTCGTGTTTTTTTTACCGCAAATCTAATTTTGCACTCAAACAAATATTTTCCTTGAAAAATTTTGTGAATGCAAAAAAAGTAATTTTTTGTATGCATAACTTAGTCCTGGTTACACTAATATTGGACTTTTTTTCCTTTTTGGTGAATTTTTTTTTCTCAAAAACTCTGAAAACTCCTATTTCTTTTGTATGAAATGTTTAGGTATGCCTTGATTAATGTCTGATAAAATAAAAATTCAAAATGAGGGGTATTATGAGAAGTTAAAGTGCTCAAAAGTTGTATGAAAAGAGCAAATTAACCATTTTTTCTAGAGAATAATTTTGTCAGCTTTTTTTGCCTCATTCCGGAACAAGCTTTTTGTCATAGATTTTCTTAAAAGTTGTGAAATTGTATACTAAGCATTATTTCAGCAAATAAGAATTCAAAACTTTTTTGTTTTGAAATTTTGTGTTTCATCCGAAACACACTAAGTAAGAAATTCCTGTAAAAAAGAAAACTCAGAGTGCATTTGGTGATATTTGCCATGTAAGTTACTAACAACTTTTTCCACATAACTATGACCAATTGGTTGAGAGAACAATCTTAGTGACCAAAAATTTTGTTTGAGACTTTGACAAAATAGTGGTTGAAACAATCTAAAAAGAATCCACAAAACATTCAAATGAACAGAAATTGATGGCCGACTTGCGAATCAACGTCGCCGGTGGATGCACTACGCTCGCGTTGCCATTTCGCAGTGGTAACTTGCTACAATTTTTGTGCAGATTCCGTGTTTTTGTTTACAAGCTCGCAACATGTTGGCGCGACTGCAGCGGTCACAAAGGTTTTGGTAATTTTGTATGCATAAAGTTAGAAACACTTTGTATCAAAGGTAACTGTATAAATATTCAGGTGTACTTTTATGAAAGATTGGTCCGTTGAAAATAACTAAGTTCCTTTGATAATAAGACTCATAGAGCTCGCAAACCGTTTATTAAATGGAAGTTCCCATGTTAGAAACGTGTTTCAGTAAAATTTCATTTAAAACTTATGTTTCCTTTAATCGTAAAAACTACTCCCGGGTTGCCCATTAGAGAAGATAATGCGCAATCATACACATCCATTCATGACTTGTATGGAAAATGACTAGTCATGCGCAGCACATACGTTTGTTTCGAAAACCCTTAAGATAGCTTTTCAACGGATTAAATTAGTAGTAAAACGATTTCTCATCATTGTGCAAGCTGTTGGTAGTTATAAATGGTGCTACGTATGGAAGAAGTTTTTCACAAGTCTCTGAAAAACTGTGAAAATAAGAAGTTAATTGACAAAATGACTGAGAAAACGTATCTTTAGTACAAGATGCGCTTTTAATAGATTTTGATTTTTTTTCACCACTCATATCATTGGTCGCAACATTTATGAGAATATTGGAAAACTATTTTTCCATGGGAACACTGGATTAAAAAAATTTATAGTTCATTGCAATTTTTGCTTTCTATCTTCTGGATTTTTGAGTTTTCTTTATAATCTATACCAATACTCAAGATTCTTGACACGATACCAGGTTTTCAAAGATTTTTCTTTAAGTTGTTTCAGGAAATCTTCAAGATTTGTCAAAGATCGCAAAGATTGCTGGGCCTGGCTTATCATATATGGTTACTTGTTAAAACATACGTCGCTCCATAAACTTTTCCATGATAATCATAAGTCGCGCCATGCATGATACCATAGTAATCATAGCAAGCATCCATGGTGACATATCACTTCTCTGACAAAATAACCTGACCAACAGCTCTGATAAAATTATCAAAGTTATCTAACTTGAAGTCCCTCATAACAAAAAAAATGTGCAAGCATATGTCGCGCCATACATGGAAAATGCGTAATTTTAAAATAAAAATACGTCGGCAATTTTTCATGGCTTCCATGGAACCATGCATGGTGCGATGTATGGTTGCACATTTTGCTCAACTCGGGCTCCCTCCATTTTTCCAGGAGTAAAAATTAAAAAAATTGCAAAAATGAATTTTGATCACAAATAATTAAGTTCAATTATGGTTTTTAAGTTTTGAAAAAAGTTGAAACGAGAAATTTGCATGATATAAAACGTTTGATTAATTCAACTTTTCAGTTCAAAATTTCTAACTTATTACTTATTTCCCGATATTTTAAATGCATAACTTTTATACACAGTAGTTTTTAATTTTTTTGATCCCAAATTTTATGCATTATTCTAGGGACCCGTCAATCAAAGATCAAAGTAGTACCTATTTACGTTTGTGCTTCATCAGTCTAAAAACTAATCTTTTGAAATCAAGAAATTTTTAATAATTCGTTGTGTTTTCAGCTTCAACTTGAGTGTTAGTACCATTTATAATCTGAATAATAACCAAAATTGTAACTTTTTGTATATGGTTTTAAAAAAATGTTCTTTGAAATTTTCAGTGGTAAGTGGTTGAAAAAATAGGCCTGTTTATATTACAAAACTATGCCTATATAGGCATACTAAAACAAAAAAATGTGTGTTTGTTCAAACATCACTTGCTTGTGCTTTTCGGTTTTTTGGGTGAAAAATTCAACCTGGTCTACGTTATAATCACAAAATGCCAAATTTTGCACGCAAAATGCTTTTTCCGTAAAATGTTCATTCGAGAACACAATCAAGTTTGCAATCAAAAAAGAAACAAAAAATATTCTAACTCAAATTTGTATTGTTTCTATAGAAAAAAGCATATCAAAAAATTTTCATGTATGAAACTGTATGATAATTTTTGTTCAAACTAATTTTTTTGGTGCTAAAGTTGCGCTCATATAACCAAAACTGCCACAACTTTGGTTTGTTTCAGTCTTAAAACAATTTGAGATAAATTAAGAAAAACTTTCGATTGAAAAAAAATACTTGTCATACAATTTTCTGCTATAGAAATTGTAAAATAAGCATTTTTTCCATAGACTCTATATATGAAATTGTATGACATTTTTCTTGTATGGATGTCAACCGGGTAGTTACTGTTGCACTGATTTGATTATAAGACAAAAGACCAAATTTTTTTTTAGTTTTAGGAGAGATCGTTAACATGGGTTAAACAATCACCTAAAACTACAGAACAAACTTACCGAATTATTTCTTTAAATAGCCTTAATTTTTCTTTGTACTGTTATCAAAAAGTTTAGTTGGAAAAAAAACTAACTGTAAAAGCCATCCATGTTTGGTTCCTGCAGATCCGAAGTACAATCTTATGTACTGTGTTGACTCCGAAGGGGGGCTGTTCTGGACCACTTTTGCTGGATAAGTGACAGCATATGTAGTCAAAGTGTCACCGTCTCGTGAGTCAAATCCACTGTACATGACGTAGAAATAGAGAGCGAGTGCCACTTTGGTGCCAGGGACGATTGAATCAATCTCTCGGCTTCTTTGAGTGCTTCCGATTGAGCATGTGGACGAACAGCTACCACTACTGGACCTGGAGCAATTGTTAAAATTTCTTAATAAATTTTAATAATATATTTTTTTATAATATCAACTACAATAATGTTAGTTCTTCAAAATAATTTTTATTGAGTATTATCCTTTTAATGAAATTAACTACAAGTAAATTATAGTTGAATGTACTTTTTCGAAAAAATTTTAGAATTTTATTAAGTTTTTAGTTGTACGTATTCATGAAGAGTTTGAATTTCAAAAAAGTACATTCAACTATAATTTACTTGTAGTTAAAATCATTTAAAGGATAATACTCATTAAAATTTTTCTTTCGATCAGAATTTTTTGGATAATAATTTGACAGAGGGCAGGGCAATTGAGGGAGATTTTGTGGAAAAAAATATAAACGGATTTTTTGAAATTTTTTTTGTAACATGATTTTTTTCTGAACTCTCAATTAGGTCATTATTTCATTTAAAACTTTGAATTGAAATACTGATCTAATTGAGAGTTCCGATAAAATCATTTTGCAAAAAAAATTTCAAAAAATCCGTTTGAATTTTTTTTTCACAAAATCTTCAATTGCTCTGCCCTCTGTCAATATAATATTCAAAAAACTCTCTGATCGAAAGAAAATTTACCAATACATTATCAATTGAACAAGAAATTATCATTTGAAAATATGACACTTATAACAGGGCCACAGTTTAATTTTAACTACAAGCTACTGATTGAATCTACATTTTCGTTACCATAGAAACCCTCCGTGAACAACTCCAGCTACACTGAATTCTGTGTGTATCTTGTCAGTCTCTTCTTCCGGATAGCCTGCATTCATAGTCGGAGTCGCCGGGGTTGTGACTTCGTAAATTAGGAGTGACTCACTGCTGCTAGTGCGAGGATGGTTCACATACTCCACGTATGCTGTGATACCTAAGTAGTTGGTAGTAGGGTAAATTTTTATCCCAGAACGGGTAAATTTTTTCCTTGTTTTATTCTTGTTCTAACTATTTGATACTACTTCAACTTTTTTATTACAATATTTTGTCTTTAATACTTAAACTTGAATTGTAAAACTAATCAGAAATTAGTACCTAAGTAGCAGGCTGTAGAGTAAATTTTTATCCCAGATCGGATGAGGTTGCCAAACTTTTCTCGTTATTTTCTTGTTCTAACTTTTTGATGCAACACCAACATTTTTCAACCAAATTTTGTGTTTAATACTTAAATTTGAATTACAAAATTAATAATCCATTCCACTTAAAACCATCCGTTCAACTTAATCAGAAACTAATATACAGTGGGTTCTTGGATGGCTTCAAGATTTTTTATTAGTTTTACAACTAACCCCCATTCAGTTGACTTTGATCCTTATGGCTCTGAGTAACATATGAGTGAGGTGATAAGTGGGGGGGGGGGGGTATGGTAGAACCCCATGTTTTGAGATTAAGACCATTTATCCACGGTGGAAAGGACCAACAGAAGCCCGGGTTGACCAAAAATGCTAGTCATTCAATTTCCATATATGGAAAATGCTAGTCACACAATTTCCATGCATTTCCATACGTACAATTCCATACGTACATAGCATGAAAGGTCTTTGATTAGTGTTTTTTCATATATGGAAATTGTATGACTAGCATTTTTCCATAAATCAAAAATTATGATTTTTTACATTTTAATTTTTCAAAATTTTTTGGTTGTGTTCGTAACCGAACACAAATTACATAAACCTTGGTTACCCAAACATAGTAACCAAAGGTTTGGCCGTCACGCATTAAAAATGCTTTGGAAACAGCCTGCAATGTCTTAATTCTGTCTCACGCAAATAATATAACGAAAGTATCAAACTTTTCAATTTTGGCAAAAATTTTCAAAGATGATTATTTCTAAAATTTGAATTTTCAAATTACCAGACATTGATCAAGGCATACATAAACATGCCATACAAAAAAAAGAGGATTTTTGAGCATTTTTGAAAAATGTTATCAAGAGAAAAGGAAAAAAATCCAATATTAGTATATCCAGGACTACGTTATACACACAAAAAATTAAAATTGCATGCAAAGTTTTTTTCAAAAAATGTTTGTTTGAGTACGAAAATCATTTTGCGGTTGAAAAAAACACAAAAAAATTTTGGGGGCAATTTCAAAAATACTTTGAAAATTTTTTGCTGTCGCCATCAAAAAAATGCTAGTCACACAATTTCCATATATGGAAATTGTATGATTAGCATTTTTTTTGTCAAAAAATTTTTCTTTTTTATTTAGTACGATACACCAAAATTTATGCCAAAACAAGAGAAAAGTTCTTCGAAACTTTAGCAAAATGTATGAAATTTGTATGACGAGTATTTTCTCATAGACTTAGTTTATGGAATTGTATGATTAGCATTTTTGGTCTATGGAGATTGACCCGGGAGAGCTGATCAGCTCATCAAGGCGAACCGTTGTTTTGCCCCTGCTTAAGAACTACATGCAATTTTTTTGGCTTTTTTTCTGGGCTGGATATTGTTGCTTCACACTTTAGCAACGAGCATGGATCATGGTGGGCCTCGAACATCCGACCTTTCGTTTGCGAGGCGGAGACGTAACCACTTCACCACTGATACTCTATTACCTTTCTTAATGTAAAACCTATAACCTAGCTTAGTACATTGGGAAACCTATTGCCTATCCTAAGACATAGATGTCTACCAGTACCAAAAAAAACTTCGACAAAGAAAAAAAACTAGATCCAGCCGCGCTTCTGCCTTAAATAAAAAAAACGTGACATACAAGAGAATCGGTCAAGTAGATATGAAAACTCAGTTTTGAATCAAATTGTCTTTTTATTATTGAAAACAGAGCCATGTTGAAACCGCTACTTTCCCACCTATGTCCACTTTGGTTCCAGGCACGATGTTGGCAATAGTGTGAGTGGAAAGAGAACTGGAAAGGTCACAAACTCCAGAGCAACTTCCAGAATCAGATCTAAACTTTAACAGTGGACGCCAAAACTATAATAAACTAAAAAGTTATGAACTGTCACAAGGTGATTTGCTCAATTCTTGCAATCAAGAAAATTTTTATGCAATTTGCCGCGTTTTTTTAGAAACCCAAACTTTTTTAGCCGTCACTGACAAAGATTTTTCTAATTTACAAAATAGAAGGCGGGGAGGGGGAGGAGGGGGGAAGAGGTGGGTTTAATAATTTTAAAAACTCGTTGTCAAAAACTCTACATCTGAAAACATCAAATTTCACAAACGTTCAACTTACACGAGAGACCAGCCGTGTTTTATCCCCTCGACTTCAAAGGAAACTGTAATTGTAGTTGTTGTGTATGTCGGAATGGTTGTTTCAGTCGGCTTAGCCGGAATCACAACAATGTCTGTTTTCATGGCGATACTTCTCCTCAAATCAAAGCCAGTGTAGTTGACGTATGTCTGAAGAAAAGAGAACGTTGATATTTTTGAGGTTTTGTTAACTACACCCCCCCCCCCAACCCCTTAAATTCTGGTTAGTATAAAATTTTGACCCCTATAAAGTCGACTTGAACGGCACGAATTTCACCTTTTTGCAATAGAGGGGTTTGGAATTCATAAGATCTTTATTTGGTCATTCAACAGTCTATACTTATCTGTTAAACAAAAGCAAATCGCCAAAAAAAGTACAAAGTTGAAATAGATGGTTTCTTAAGTTTGAATTGTAGATGAACAAACTAAAAAACGGAGCTAAACAAATTTTTTTGATTTTTCAGTTTCCAAAACCGACTTGATTTGGAATAGCCGCTTGTTGTGCAAGTAGCACAGAATGTTCCGACCATATTCTTAAAAAAAACGTTAAGAATTTTCTCGAATTAGTGTAGTTTTTTTAGCGTATTGTGATAAAAAGGTCTGATGAAGGCCTAGAATTTACGCTTATCAGTCAATCACAGTAAAACAGTTAAGTCGGGCATCGATTTTGTCAAAAATTGACAAGAAAAACATTAAAATGTCAAAAAAAAGTCTCAAAGTAAAGTTTTCAAAACAAACTTTTATTCCCAAGACTGCGCCGAAAAAATTTTCAAAACAATTTGACAAGATTAAAACTAAAATTTTGTGGTCTATCCTTTAGAAAAATCTGCTCGCTTGCTCTTAGAAATTGAACTAATGCTCAAACGCTTTAAACTAGTTTTTCTCGACACAGGGACATTTTTGCAAATTTTTTGATGTCTCTCCAATCAGTCTGAAAGGGCTTTAATATGATAAACCACTCTTTCAAATCCGATGATTAAATGACCTGGTGTTGCGTGGAAAACAAAAAAGCCTAAAACACACCCGAATACAAAGTGCCACCCCATTTTCAATTGCTCGGAACAATAGCATTATTGGTACCTTTGTATCTTATCCCAGTAAAAGGTAACCACCTTTAAATCTATGAAGACTAGATCTCCAGAAATCAGTTCAGTCACAGTCGCACTACTGGACCAATCAGGCAGCCAGCACTCCACCATACAACTGCCAGAGTCGGATCTAGACAAAAAATCATCGCGGGTCTCAGTTGAATCATAGATACATTAACACTACCATGTATAATAGAAGCAAAGTTTTTTAAATAGTTGAGCAGGGGCGGATTGGGGGGGGGGGGGGGGGGGGGGGACGCCCGCTTTCAGGGATTCGACCCCATGCCGACCCAAAGGGTCCCACCTTTGTACTATACTAATTTTGAGGGGGGAGCGCGCGCCGAAAAACGCGATTTTTTGGTCAAAATTTTCCAAAAATTGGTTAAAAATGTCTCTTTTTTTTGCATTTTTTCAAACAATTGCCTGCGGCGCGGAAAATTTTGTCAAAATGGGGTCTTCATTTTGATTTGGGAGACCTCAGAAAATGAATTTGGTCGATCTAAAAAAAATAAAGGTTGGACAAAATTTTTTGAAAATCCTGTAGTTGAGTGCTCTTGAGGTGTTACACGACGACAAGCTAAACGTCTTTGAAGTTCTTCCCATGTGCATTTGTGTTTGGTTGCATATACTTGGATCTTAATTCATCGAAAGTTGCAAGAAATTGGAACAGAGCAAATATCCATCTCAGACAACTTTCGCGTGCAATCACTCATTTTTCAGTCAAAAATTTTTTCTCAAGGTTGCTTGAAAATTACAATAATGCTTGCGAAATTAGTTTAAAACTGGCAGACTGCTTGTTTTTAGATAATTTTGTCTGTTGCTACGTTTCGCAATCTTTGTATCTTCTGAAAAATTTTGGTTGTCGCGTATTCTTGAAAATTCATTTTTTTTTTGCTGAGATTATGACTAGAGTCCAATTTTTTGCCAATCAGTGTGAAAGAATTATCTGGTGGCTCTATAAAAAGGCCATTGCTGCTTTCAAAACCAATGAAATTTTAAAATCACCGGCAGATTGTAAGCCAAGTTTTTGTCAAATCCATAACTTTGGTATTCTCTTACTCGATAAGCAGCTCTTTTGCTCTGAAATGCTCACAGATTGATGGTTTTTTTAGGATTTTTTTTTGAATTTCACTTTCCATGAACAAACTATGCATACCACAAAATAACAAACAAACTAGTCGTTTGCCGATAAATTTTCCGGCCTCTTCATGAATAAGGAAAAGACATACTGTAGAGTGATTTTGACCTAATTTTAGCTAACTCAAGAGAGCTTGTTTAGGTTTAAATCAACTTTACCACATTGAAGCCCTAATGGTTTTAATTCGGTTTTCATCAAAAATTCTTTCGGTTTCAGTTTTCCGATTTCAGACTAATTTTCATAGAAAGTTGGACAAAAGATTTTCATATCTAACTCCTAAGATAGTTCAATTGCAATTTTGACGCTATTTTGTTCAAAATTAACTCACGTTTTGCACCTTATTAAATGAACCAATATCCTGCTACTACCTAGAAAAACAACAGCGATTTAAAAAATGGAAAACATTTTTCAATTTTTTGAATTATTCTGACTACAGAAAGAGAGTCGGTAAACGATAACGTTTATATAATTTGTTTGTCTCACGTGCTCTCAAGGATCTTCTTAACGATCTCCTCCCTTTCAAGAAAGGCGAAAATTAATAAATAGATTAAGCTGGGAAAGATTTCACAAATCACTTCACAAAAAGAGCAGTCTTGATACTAGAAGTTGATCAAACTTGTCCTTGCATCTCATTTAGGTCAAAACAAAGGTCTACTATAATGAAGTTTCCTTGTCTTTTTCTGTAAAAACGATTTAAAAAATTGAATTGCTATGGATTTCAATTTTTATCGATTAAAAGCAATATAATCCATTTTAAAATTTTTTTATACCACTTTTATAGACACTTACAATAAAGCTTATATTTTTATCCATGAAACTCCAGGTTACAGTCGCAGTTTAACGTTGGTTTTTAATAAGGTAGTGTTCAATTTTTTTTAACAAAAGACGAATTTAAAAAATGTTAAAAAAAATAAACAAAAAAAACGACTAACTCCCCACACACAAAATAAAGTACAATGTGACTGATTTAACATTTAGCAACGCATCAGTTTTAAAAACTTTACGCTTCAAATGGGAACGTTATCTAAACCGGTTTAGGTCACCACTTTTAGTTTAAGTGCCACCCATATCACGCTTTTGTTGTCCCACTTTAGCCAAAAGCTGTTTAAAACCCTGATCATTATACAAAAATTGATCACATGTGAATATTCTTTTGTAGTTTGAGCTCAAGATAATACTAAACTTCAGATATCAACAGATTAAAAAGCCGGAAATGGTCTTGAAAAAGAAAACCCGAGCACAAATATTCTATCACTTTCTTCGAAAGCAGTCGGAACAACAATTATCTTAACTCAGCAATTATGTCAACAATTGTCTTGAAGTTTTCATTTTGAGACAATAATGAGAACGGTATATTTCGTCTTTCATTTTCATGAAATTTTCAAAGCTTCAAATTTTTCAAATTTTCAAATTTCATGATTTATTCCAAACAACTACAATTAAATCTCCAGAGCGTTTTTACCAAAAAGAGTTGCTGGTAAAACAGCTTTTTCCATTTAAACTCAGTAAGTCGGTATCTTCAAAAAATAAAAACATTTTCCATTGAGAACTATGATTTTGACAGCCAAAAGTGGTCTGAATAGAAAAACTGCCCCAAGCACATGGATTTTTTTGCTTTCTGAGAGTAAAAAAAAACAAGATAAACAACAAGTCAAAGATTTTCGGTATCTTTCCATTGGTATATTTCGCGTTGTTTCTCACAAAATAGACAACTAAGCAATTTTCAAACCTTAACTTTGCAAAACAATGCAAAGTTGGGAAAGCTATTTTTTCAATTTTAGCTCAAAGGTGTCAAATCATTTTAGACGACTGAAACGTTCAGACACTAAAAATGTTTGGTTAGGTTGTCGAAAATGGTTTGAAGAAAAAGCAAAAGAAGGAACACCAAACAATAAGTGCTTATCATCATGATGCTCGTAAATCAAGAGAGCACTGAGTGTTACAACTGCCCTTAAAGCTGAAAAAAATTCGACTGACAAAGAAATTGCTTCAAAAATGCGACAAAATATTTTAAGAAGAAGAAAAAATGCAAATAACTTTTCTTTCTTGGTTTGACTTACCCCCACCACGCTATTTGTAGAACATAGAAAGTTATTTTGCGCCTGATATAATAACGTAACATTTGGCGAGTTCTTTATTTCAAATTGGCCAAATTAGAAATTTTCAAAACCCCTTAAGAAAAAACTTATCGGTTCGATCTCAAGACAACGTTATATTTTTGCAGATGGTAGAAAAAATTCTTCAAAAACTTTAGTTTTGAAGAATTAAATTCTAAGCTTAATCGGAAGTAAAACTAACCTAAGCATGACACTTCTGTTAGTTTCTTCGAAATTCTCAAAAACCGGAACAAAAAAAATTTAATAGATGCGTACTCCAATTAGTTAATTATTATGAGCTCAAAAAAACAATCCGACGTATGAACCAACCAAAATGGGCAGATAATTTAAATCAACCAAACATTACGCCAATATTGCTAATTTTGCGTTTTTTTTCAAAATTTTTACATAAGTTTTGCAACTATTACATAGTTATTGCACAGCTATTACGTAACTGCCTAGTGTATCGGACTGGTTCATTTGGTGTATATTTTTAGGCGGTTGTTAAATTACCGATTGAAACTAACCGAAAACGATGTCATCAATTATTTTTATTACGTCAAATATCAAACTTACTTCAAAATCCAGCCATGTTTTACACCCTCCACGTAGAACTCCAGTCGAATCGAGACTGTATCGACAATTGGAGAGTAGACGTATTGAAATGGAATGTCAGGAAAAGTCACTTCAGTTATGGAGTACTCTCTTATCATCGGGATGAACCCTCGGCTGAAGGACTTAATTGCGAACTCATAATGACCTCCCGGTTTCAAGTCGGTGTACCACACAGTCTGTTAATGAAAGTTTGAAATTAAATACTGAAAAAACTTTGGACTCTTTTCCACTTTTATTGCTTTTTATTATAATTTGTGAACACTTTTTGGCTTTTTGTTGCTTTTATTACTTTTTTTATTATGATTTGTAAATACGTGTAATGGCATAAACTACGATGAAAGATGAAAAATGCAACAAAACAATCGGGTTGAGTTGGGCTAACTTTTGTTCACAATGCAAAAAAAAAGAAAAACTCAATTTTACTTTTGCAAATGATAATTCAATTGTGGAGGCGAGGGGGCGAAGGGAGGGGGGGGGGAAGGGAAGGGGCTTCGTGGAGTAGAAAGAGCCATTTGTTGATTTTTGACTTTTACTCACTAAGACACAAATCTGAAGAGCAAAAACAAAAGCTAATCTAAACCCACAAAACTTTAGCTTTTGTATTTGCCAATCAAGCTTTATAAATAACTTATTAAAGTCAATTTCAGGTCTATTTTGGGCGAAAAAACAATTATCGACGAGAGTCAGTAACCTGGTCCAGAACGAAAGGTCTGGTTGTTATGAAGGGAACAATGTGGAACCTGATCTAAACTATATTTTATGATTGGATAAATTAAATGTTTTACCAATTTAAAGTATTTAATATTAACCAATCATGATCCATCTAACTAACAACCCACTTATTTGTAAGTGCTGAAGTTACTTGTAATTTCAGCACCAGAGAGATTTGAATTTAACTTAGAAATTAGTTGGACTCTCCCGAGCACTTCAGCAGCCGCAATAAACCAGTATACCCTAGATCTATTGAGCCTAGCAGAGACTAGTTAAACAACCTGAGACTAGATAGTATAAGAGTAAGATTAGGATCGGTATTAGACTAAGAAGTTGCACGAATCTATCCGGCCGAAAATAAGATAGCGTGACGAGCAGACGGTGTACCCTATCCGAAATTACTCTATGAGTTAAACCTCGGTCCTAACTCATCTGGTGCGACCATAAGTCTCGAACAAGACCTTATTAGATTAGAATTAACCAAAATTAGATTAGAAATTAGACAAAAACATTTACAAAATGTTATACGACAATAATTTAATTGAAATGTCTCTCCGACTCAATAGATCCGAGCCAATATTCCGAACCATAATAGAACTACCCGGAATTGGAAGAAGACATCGAACCAAAGACGACATACGACAAAGTAGAAACTTGCCGTATAGTTACATGATAGTTCGGCAAAAGCCAGAACAAACTTTTATATTTCGAATACTACTTGCAATGAATTTAGATTTCCATTTGCAAACATAAAACCTTGAAGTAAATCTTCAAAATCATTTCAGGCGCTAAACAAAATTAATATTATACAATAACGATTGATAAAAAGATCTAAGATCGTTTTCCTAAAATTCTGCAGTATTATACAAAACATGTTTGAAAAATATTTATTGGAAAATAAAAATAAAAATTAGTAGCATGACAATAAATGGTTAGTAATCATAAATCATCCTGTTGTTCCAGCTTCATCACCTAAAACATAACAGCAATCATCAACTCACTAACATCATAAAACACTAAATCTTTCCTTTACACAAATTTAAAACTTTATTAAAACTTAAAGTCACTTAATTTAAAAACAGATCATCAAGGCTTATCCTTGGATCTTAAATCATTTTCTACTTAATTAAATTTCAAACTTGATCATCAAGGCTTATCCTTGGATCAAACAGAACAACTTTGTTCTCCCCCACCCACTTAATTAGTGTCTAACGACCTCAAACGTCGATTCACTACCCAACCCTTTCTAAAGACCTAAGACTAATAGAAATTTTTAAATAAAACTAATCATTCAAATTAGGATAAACAGTGAAGAACTTCGGTTATTCATCCTTCACTTGATCCCCCCTCTTACCAGACCCAGGATAAATCTTAGACTTAGTAAGTTTAAAATAGTATCTAACGAACTACTCGCGTTCTAATTATACCTGAACCTTGTGGATCGATTTACTATTCTCCAACCCTTGAACACAATCACTACCCCTAAGTAAGATTAAGTAAGTTAACACCTTAGCTTATACTAGTCACGAGAAAGTAAAAATCATTCTTCGGAATCGATATACTTTTCTCTCCAACCCTAAACAAATAGACCCAGGTTAAGCTAACCAAAAAATCGTAAGAACTAACAGTTTAGGAAAATAGAAATCATTTAACAACCTTTTGCACCCGTCATCCTAAACCTTATGTCATTTAAAAACCTAGGGAATAAACAAACAATCGTTTTACACAATTGTGAAATAGATAACAAAAAATACGACCTTGTAATCACACCTCATACACAAACAGTTGGATACATTCGCACAAAACGACAAACACTAAAGAGAAAAATAATAACTAAACAAAGACAAATAACACGAAAAAGATTTTCAAAAAATCGAAACGCATTTTCAGAATCAGAAACCAACAGTTTAGACGAACTTTACAAACTAAAAGAATCAATAGATAAAAATTACTCACAACACGATCAATTATATTTTTCTGACTCAGAAACAACTTCAAATTCATCACAAAGAGGAAAAAGAAGAATAAAAAAACAGTACAAACACAAACCAGTACATCTATACAATTGGAATCAACCAATTCGACACATTAATAATTACATATTAACAGTCATTGAACGAAAAAATGAGTTCAACACACACCCCAGGTGACGAAACTCCAGATGATGATGAAATCTTTCCTTTTATAGTAGATGCAGATACTGATAGAGGACAACACATATTTTGTCAAAATTTACTCGTAAATTTATTTGAACCCGGAATTAGTCCATGTAAAACAGAGTTCCCCGATGTAAAAATCAAAAGACAAATCATAGATCACTATCTAAAAGATATATGCAACATAACACAACAGTATGGAATCTACTCTATAGAATTCACTTCCCCAAACCATAATAATAGAACATATACTATTCAAACAGACGACCTTGATTTAGAATTTTCAAAAGTTTTTTCAGAATATATAAAAGACATCCAATACCATAACTCACAAAGAGCAAACTCCATTTTCACCAATGAAGTTTTCGCAATAATATATAGTTATATTTCGATATTAGAAAATGAACTCCCATTAACAAATGTCTCACCGACAGAAACATCTAAACATCTAAGAGTACGACATGAAATCACACTACTCTCTAGTTATTTAAACATCATTAAAGAAAATTTCACGAAAGACGACGTTTCACAACATACCAAACACGATTTACAAAAAATTTTAGCATGGTTCATCATAGATTATTTTACACACAATATTGATTTAATTGCACAAGCAAGAAAAAATTTTAGACCCCAAAATTCGAACGATGATACCGCTATCACAGAACAATCAGATTATGTTTGGGACCCCGAATGGTCTCATCCCGCATTTATAAACTTTCCACAATCAATCTCAAGTCAAGCAATAGGTACAATATCGTACATAAGAGATTATGTAAGAGTAATACCATTAACAATTGATGCAACACCATTAAACTATAATACATTTTTACCCGATACACAAAATAATAGTTTAAACTCTACAGTTATACACAATGAAAATCTCAATGGAACTAGGAATCTTACTCAACAAGATATCCAGACACCATCACACTTCATAAATGAAGAAATTGTACACACAACAACTACACAACAAAGTATTTCACCAATACGCCCAAATTTAACAACACCAAGAAATACAAATCCTTCACAAACACAGGTAACCTTACAATCAACCGTTAAACCTTCGGTTGCCCCTAAATATTCACATATGGATTACCAAACATACAAACCCATGACAATACCATCAAAAACACGCAAAACATTCACTAGAAACAACTTTGCAGACCATAATTATAATTATACACATCCATCAAAAACAAATTATAAACCACAAAGAAATTTTAATCAATATACAAAACCTCGAAACTGGGATAACCCAACGGCCCAATATAATTCCACAAATTTTCAACCAAATCCTCCACAGGATCGCAGTGAAAATTACCCATTTTTTCAACAAAATAAAAATAAAAAACAAACATCTTATCAAATGGATTATTTATCCTCAGATGAAGATTTCTTACAACCAGATATATTTGCACCAAATACTCAAGAATATCGTAGACAAGGAATACAGAAAACACGTACAAACCATAGAAATTTTTCTCCACAATCAATAGATGCACAATATCAACAACCAATTCAACAACAAAATCCAATTAATATACAATCTTTTCAACCAATTCAACAACAAAATCCAATGACTACACACTCGTATCAACCATCACAAATGCAAAATGAAATACCACTCCCGTATTATCTTCAACAACATGAAATAACAAGAAACCAACTTTCAAATTTTTCTCAAATGCCAAATGCAGCTGAATCATTACAAATGACAATGAATCCATACCTTATGGGTGGATCATCAATAACATCAAATAAACCCTTAATGGTTTTCACAGGAACAGACCCTGAATACTCTGTAGAAGATTACTTAAATGCAGTAACAGCAAATTTAATTTTAAATATTGGACCTGAACCAATTAACACGCCACTACATCAAAACTGGATACATCGACGCACAGCGTTGATACAAACAACCTTAGATGGCGCAGCCCAAAAATGGTTTTCAGTACTACCTCAAGAAATAAAATCAAACTGGAAAAGATTTACACAAGAATTTTCAAAAATGTTTGACTCCGAAAGAAACAAACAACAACAAAGAGTATTATGCAATGAAATTCGCAGATTACCAAACGAAACCATCAAGCAAATAGCAGTAAGAATCGAAACACTAGTTCGAAAAGCATATTCACTAAATACGCACGACTATAAAAACACAAAGATGACAGAAATCTTAATGATGACCTTAACACCACAATTAAGGAAAATAGCAATAAAAAAGAGAGCATCACATCCTTCTTCAATTCGAGAACCCGATTTAGATTTTAGAAAACTAGTAGACAAACTAGAACAAGCAGAAATCACAATGAAATTAGAAGAAACGGAAAATCTGAAATTACAATACGTTAACAAAATTGAAACGACTTCCACTAATATTAATAATATACAGGAATCAGAAACAGATCTCGTTGAAAAAATCACTGAAATACTCAATATTTACGAAAAGAACCCGAACTTTAAAGGCAAACCATCTTTCAAAAAATGGTGTAATTATTGCCGACGATACGGACATAGTATTTCCGAATGTAGACAAAAACAACAAGATAGTCAAAATAAACCTCAAAAATACAAAGAACCAAATAAATCATTTTATCAATACATGAAAAAAGATCAAAACCTACCAAACAAAAATGTATACAGCAACAACAGTTCAGGAAAACCACTCCCAAACAATACAAGCTATACAAGAAATCAATCTCCATATAACTCAAGTTATAGAGGAAGATCACCAGAACGAAGAAACACGTATAATTCATCACAAAA